GGAATCACCATCAAGTAAGATTCAAGAAAAGGCTCCTGGCTCTTCTAAGGGTATTGACATGAACATGTTATTGACTGCGATCTCACAAAATATGTCTGAAATGAGAGCCAGCAAAATATGTCTCAAATGATGGCTGCGCAGGAAGCCAGCATTTCACAAAAGTTGGATGCACAGGACACAAAATTGAACGCCAGCATCGCACAGAATATGTCTGAAATGAAAGCCAGCATCGCACAGAATATGTCTGAAATGAAAGCCAGCATTACATCACAAATGGTTGAATAGAGGGAGCAGATATCTTCCTTGGAATGAACAATAGCGCAAATACAGCAAAATCTTGTGACGAACAATGCGGAACTTAAGGAAAGGCGGGATCTAATTGAGACCCATTTCAAATTTTTATGCTCCAATTTAAGAAGGTAGCTGAAAAAAAAACAACTGGAGCATAGAGGAAAAATCCGCTGCACTATTCGTTGCGTTGGAAGGACCTGCAGCCGAACTTTTGCAAACCATATCCGTAAACGAGAGAAATGATTACGACGGATTGATGCAAGCCCTGGAAAGACGCTATGGTAGNGAGCGATTCAACCGGACCCTGGAAGAGCACTTGCGAAAAGTAGTGGACAAGCATCAGGATGATTGGGATGTGCATATACCGCTTTTCCTGATGGGATATCGGTCCGCCGTGCATGTAACTACAGGGCAAACACCCGCGAGGATAATGTTTGGTAGTGAACTACGGTTGCCCAGCGATTTAAAATTTGGAATAACTGGTGATGCTAGAAGAATTGGGAAGGTAACGTATACCGATCTCGAGGAAGAGCTAAGAGAGGTACATGCTCTTGTGAAACATCGAACTCAAATTATGAGTGACAAAATGAAGGCCAGGTATGACAAGGCGATGAACTCCGAGGGTTTCATGTGAAGTAAGACAAAACGTATGTGTTCACCTATGTACATTATTTGGTATAGTTGCAGTTCCAATTAGTTATTTGTTCGGTCAACGTTCGTATTTTTTTTTTTGACAGTTTTCATAGTCTTGTGGTTTTTATTTACAAATTATACGTACAGCTAGCCAAAAAAATCTGGTCAGTATTCTATGTGTGTGTTTTTGTAATTTCAATGTGCTCGTTTGTGTGCTTGTTTAATTTCTTTTTGTTTACCTATGTCGCCTATGTCTGAACTAAAAGGATTGATACCAAATCGTAGCGAAGAGTTCATTTTCATTCGATCTGCAGTTTTTTTCGGTTTCGAGATAATTAAAATAGGTTTCTGGTTAGTTCGAAAGATTTGTTGAAATCTGGTAGAAAAAATTCAACATGCGCTTGTAAAGTGTCTTTTATTTTAGTTAAGACCTCGAGCGCCGGTTCAACCAGATTAATTTTTATTTTTGCAATCTGAGTTTTAAATATTTACGCCACCATTGACTCTCCAAAAAATGTAATGAGGAGTTTTTGATTGCAGCAAAATTTTGAATAAATTCCCTAAAGTAGCTTGCTAATCTCTAAAATGATCTCAGCTCTTTTAATTTCTTTGATGTGTAAAAATCTTATATCGTTTGAATTTTAATGGAGTGTTTATATTTATTTTAATATATGTTATTATCGTCTACGCATCGCTGAAATATAATATAAAAGGTGCGTTCTAAAGACCTAACGGAATTCTAAGGAATTCACACTTTGCGTCATTCACGGTGAATGAGGTTTTTTCTCTATACGATTCTTTGATCAGGATTTATGGGCATTGGTTTCTCTATGTTATACTTAAAACTAATGTGCAAAATTTAAGTGCACCAGATCAACATGCAATATTGACGAAGATATTTTTCGTTTGGCAAAGTCTTTGAAGACACTCCGTTGAAGGCAATCCATTTATTCTCCTAAAAAAGCACTGCCTGTTCCCTAAGTAGCATCAGCGTACAGGGCGAGTGATTGTAGCTTTAATCCTATTGCCTGATTTGCTCGTAGTGTTGCAATGTCTCTGGCCATTTTGTGGTTCTGCACGGGACAAAAATTGTAGTTTAGTTAAATTGTTGGTGGTTTCGTTGTTTTTATAAATTGATTGCGCAATGTAAAGTAGTCACCCAGATCGTTCCATTTGACATCCAGCGCGTGAACGACTTTACTGGAAGCTAGAAGTGTGGTCGCAAATCTTACTCACGAAGAAAGCTTCTGCTAAGATCACTTCAATTTCACACATAAAAGATTGTCTGATGGTTTTGCAGTACAGTTACTCGTAAAACCAAACGTATCACTGGACTCAGCGAAATATGGATCAGCCGAGACCACACCATATTTAGGGTCAACGGTCCATTTGAAACGGTAAATCTTCTCGTTGGCAATCATTGATGATTTTCAGGGGAAACAGTGCAGTAATAGAGTAGCAATCTTTCCTCTGCTGGTTATGGGCTCAAGAATTTACCTGCGGTAAGGCAAGCCTGCCATAAGAGGCGACTATAATCCAATAGTTCCCGGGACATTCGGGTCTTTATAACGGAACGACCCGTTTTTTTCCCGACCAAGGTCTGCCACTTTCGCAACGTTCCCTATAAACTACTTTGGTCACAACAACAACAGCAATAGTAACAATCCTCAGAATAGTTTGTAGAACTTAAGCGTGAGTAGACTACTTGCCAAAAATAAATTCCTGTTACAAAAGAGAGTAGAACCCTGTCCGGCTCGGCGGACAAGCAATGTTGCGTATTTTTCCTAATTGAGTTAAACAGGGTTCTTGATTAAATAAAAGTCGCGGTTTTAGTAATTTATAATTCCCTTTTAAATACTTAGAACCAACCTGGCGTTCGGCGCAGACTCTAAGCTCCTCTTTTATGGACTTGATAGTCACATTTAGGTTCCGATCGCCGGCATTCTTTCATGGGAACAATATTCTGCGAAAGAGATTCATGCACCTTTGCACCTTGTTAGTTCTCGGCCGTCATTCTTGAACAACTGATAAAAAAAAGTAATTGCCATTCGAACTTTGTCATAGTCGGGTGTTGGATCTGCTGCGATCTTTTTTATTGGACTTGTTGAAAACTAATAGTTTTTATAGCGATGGCTCGAGGAAATCTTTAGTATTCAAAGAAAGCAGGAGTGTAAGTCGAGAGAAAATAGCTAAGCTGGCTGTTGTGATGATAGCAACTTTTCGACGTTAAACCTTCTTTGAGCGTATCGACGGGTATTTTTACTCCCACGATTTGTGCCAAGGCACTTACGAGTTTAGTTTGTCATTGATGTGCTAGTGGCTCTCATATATTCATCACTAGCTGATCGTTCTCAGCTCTGGATATTTCTATCACATTCTTACCGTATACAGAAATCATCGATGTCATCTGGAAAACGAGCTGCTTCCATGCGTTCGGTCCAAAATGAAAGGGGGGTAAGATGAGTTGGGTTTAGAGGGCATGCAAAGAGGTGATTAGTATCGTGCGGGTCTCATTACTTGCTAGACATACGTTGGATATCTTTGGATAGATAGGAATTTGGTCGACTGCAGTATCCAGATCTTAGGCAGTATTAGGCGGTGTTCTCGAGCTTTTCGACTGCAATGGGAGGTGGTTTAGCTCCCGAGATTGCCTCTCACTGGAAGAGAGTTCAAAAAAGTGTTACCGGGCTCTTTCTTAATGGCTATTCTTGTCTGTGGTGCTGAATATAGTCCTTATAGTCGAGGACTCCCTTCGTGATTTTGATGTTCTCCTTGCCTCGGCGTCCCAGCAGATATTGCTTGAAAAACAAAGAGCTACGCTCCTTAACTCAAAGTATAAATCCTTCGCTGTGCAAGTAATACCCTGGCGACTTCAGTAGATATCATGTCACGGTCCCGAGGGTGAGGCTTTAGCAGTCTTGTAGCTTCTTCGTTTGCATCTCGCTAATCCCCGGCATTCATATCGGACCATCTGGCCGCCGTTAAAAAAAGGATTTGATGATTTAGTTGCAGTACTGTAATTTTGTGGCAATTTCAGTCGTATGCGGAGTGCAGGAGTGCAGGCTGTCGAATGCGATTCGACTTTCACGCCGAGTTTGTGCTGGTACTCCTTCGTCCTGCTAGTGAAGAGGTTATTTAAAATTGTTTTGCAGTGAGAAAGTTCACTTTCGAACAAAGTCATCAATATCCTGGCCAGACGCCAACATCGAGCAATCAGCCCTCACGACAGCCAAACATTTATTGAGTAATTAGTACATCTTTATTAAGCTCTTTACAAATAATAACTTTTTCAGGGAATTTTTACGGAAAACTGTTACAGTATTTTAAAAATAATATATTACCCATCCATTTAAATGTTTTATAAGCTCTTACTAAAAACTTCTGTTTTTCGTGCGTCTTCAAATGAAAGCAAAAACTAAACCAGGGTGGTATGATGGACGTACAATTCAATTCAAATTGCCGTGAAAATTCCGCATTACTTGTACCCTTAAACTTATTATAACATATTTCATGAGACCATTCAAACCTGTTTAAAGTTAAAGATATATATATTTTAGTTTCACTATAATACCAGGTTTCTTAACACATTCGGGCAGAATATATTGAACATTTAATAAATTTTTAATGACAGTGATGCTCGTTATCGATTTAATTTGAGCTATTTTATTCCTCTGACTTAACCGCCCTAAGACTGCTAGGATATTTTTATCCCCAAAATTTTTCTTAAAAATCCTGACTTGGAATGTACCTTAAGAAACCCGTTCTAATAGATCCAGCATGCTCTTGTACATGCATTGTTGACAGTTTAGGCGGGAAAAAAATTTCAATTTTTGACAGATGGCAATTTCTTACCAGGTGGTTTTTTTGTTGAGTGAATAATTATCTACAACCGACATCTGAAGCTAACCGAAATTGCTATAAAAGTGTTGTGTAGTAAAATTGAATCTTAATTATTACTCTTTCTCACATTTTTTTATGGGATAAAAATTCATTTTAGACCTGACCGAAACGTCTATTGAGACAGGACTCTAAACCCGGTACAAGACATTAGAACAAAAAGAAATATTTTTTTTTAAATGGCAGGTACAGTTGATTTCATTACAAAAAACAATTTACAGGATTCGATATATAAAAGCCGTCTAAATGCGTAACTATATTGAGATTGCGTTTATAATTCCATACTTCAGAACAATTGAAAGTACTCAGGAAATGAGAAATTTGAATATTTAAGAATTACCTAATGTGAGAATAGTAGTAGTTTAATATTGTATTTACATATCATGTGTTTCCATACGTTAGTAAACGATTTTGCCATGATTGCATTTTAACATTTAATAAAACAATTAAACATACATTTTTAACTATAGCAGTCAAATTCGCAGGCCCACCAAATCCAGATAATCTTCCGGAAGATGGAAAGCTGAAATCAGAGATGATGATCAAAGATAATAGACGATATTATTTAGATTTAAAAGAGAATGCACGTGGACGGTTCTTACGTGTGAGTATTTATCAATTCTACATTAAAAACACAATTGTAAATAAATTTGTTTTAATTAGTTTCAATTGAAATTATTTTGTACTTTTGTTATAGTTTGCTTTATCCATACACTCTCAAAATTATAATAAAAAAATGTATGATATAATTATAGCGGATAATTTTTTGTTGATTAACATTACGCAATAATTGATTATTTGCATTTCAGGTATCCCAGACTATAACCAGAGGTGGTCCAAGATCGCAAATAGCAATACCAGCTCAAGGAATGATTGAATTTCGTGATGCTTTAACAGATTTACTTGAAGAATTCGGTACCAATGATGGGGGGTACGTAATCAAATGTATTGCATTCAAAAGCTGAAAATGATTTAGTAATATTGTATTATATATAAATATCATAAATACAACTTTTTGGTATTTGTTTCATGTTGTTCCATAGTGCTTTGCTTTGTGTAACACATTATTTAAGAAGCATCTTTATTTGGCGCTTAATCAGGCGCCAAAATATATATCACTCGCACAATGTAATAAGTGCAGTTTATACCTTGGAGACGTGAGTAACCCTTTTGCGAGATGCGGTAACCAACCCATAACAAAACAACATATCCTGTTGAACGCTTTGGATTTCTATTTTACAGAGTGTATCATGCGTCTAGCGCATGGTACTTACTATACGAATCCGCGATCGCGCATATCAATACATTAATTCGTCTAGAGACCTCTTTAATATATAAAACGAATTCAATAAAAAATATTGGTAGGACAATGATAAGGTACCCACGGAGTAAGCAATCCAAAGGATAATTCAAGAGGCCTTTTGGAGCGTATATCTTGAGACAAGAGTTTCACTATATAAACATGCCCCAAATCTAATGTCAATCACGAAGTGAGCGTGAGACTTCATCACTGAGTCTTGCAAAATCTGCTTCAAAGTAAAGCTTTCCAAATATCGCTGATTTGAGCGCATGTCCTGGAAAAAGGGAGGATATGACCTTTTATGAGCGCTTCAATCGCCAAGATATCAAAACTGTGCTTCGAGACTTTAACGCTAGTGTGAGCAAAGAAGGTATTTTGGGCAAAACAATCGAGAAATGGAGCCGAAATATGGTTGTCTGTGTCTGTCGCTGTATTTGACGGAAGAGATGTGTCCAGTGTTCTAGATGTACATACTTTCTGAGTACTTAACATCGACTTCGATTATTATCTTGTCGCTGTGAAAAATGCACCCGCTTCTGTGTATCAAAGACCGCCCGTCAAAAACACAAGAAGGCTTCACGTCGAAAAGCTGCAATCACAACAATAAACCAAACGGTTTTCTCCTCGACTTGCTGGCCTTCGTTCCACAGCTACGGCAATGCCAGAAAAGGGTCTGATATGGTTAGGAATGTCAAACTGCGGTGGAAAGAAAACAAGCTGTCTACCTCGAAACTTTGCGATCACCCATTAAACGTACGGGGTGGGATAGAAACCGAGAGCTGAAGGTGGAGGCAAGATGCATTTGTAGACGAAATGCATGTGGCGTCTAACCAAAGGTTTCAAGACCGGAGCATAGTAATGCAGGAATCAATGCGGAAATATAGTATATTTGGTGCATAGGAAGAAGATTTCTCTAGCTTGCTAAATGGCAGTGAAAGTGCAACACCCACAGATGGCGAACCCGAAACCCCAGTCGATGATAATGGATAAGGCGATCCATTACCCGACTATCACTAACAGCGATTGCCCGCTTAAATAAAAACAAAGCAGCTTGCTTATCAGCTGAGCTATTTAAACGTGGCGGTGAAGAGCTGACAAGGTGCACGCATCAGGTACTTTTCAGAATTCGGTCGGACGAAAGCATGCCCGACGATTGAAATTTAAGTGTTCTCTGCCCAATCCATAAACCATGGGATTGGCCTCCTAATTATCGCATATAAGGTTCCATCGAATTTATTGTGTGAAGGACCAAAGCCGACCTTCACCAAACTGACTGAACTTCATAAAAGTGACTTTATTTCCCGGAAAATTAACCAGATAATCACAATTAAATTATGAGATGTTTATGTACGTATTTATATGTGCTTCGAATTAAGTGGCTTAAAAACCGTTCTTAAATATGCTTTACCTGTCTCTTGAATCTTGCTTCCTCACCTTATATATATATAGTGTGAGCAAAGCAAATATATATATATATATATATACGAGGTGTGTAAAAAAAATATCGCGAATTTTTTGTTTTTTCAAAAATTATTTATTTATTCATGAATATCTATTTTGTCCCCTTCAAAGTAATCCCCATGAGCTATTATACACTTGTGCCAACGGTTTTTCTAATCTTCGAAGCACTTCAAAAATAATTTTTTTTATCTTGTTCAGCTCCTCCTTCGATGCCGTCTTTATATCGTCAATCGAAGCATAACGTCGTCCTTTCATGGGCCTCTTCAGTTTAGGGAACAATAAAAAGTCACAGGGGGCCAGATCTGGGGAATACGGTGGCATGCCACATCATTAGTGTATTATATATATATATATGAAGTGATTTTCCCCTCTTTCCCGTCTAGGAAGGACTTACATTTTATACTAAGCCGCCTCCGAACGGCTGATGGTTTTTTTTATGAAGGGCTTCATTTCATGTGAAAAATACACTTGGAGGAGTTGACATTCCGTGCCGAGCGGCAACAGCAGTTACAATATTTAATATAACTTTTTATTTATATTGATTTTCTATAACTTTTAAATGTCGGTCGCATGGGTATTTGGGCAATGCTAACCACTCGGTTGCCGCGGTCGCCACTTACTTTTCTTACCTGTCTAAAAATCTTTGGAATCATGGAGGTTAGTAATCTCGTGCTGGGACTTATAAAATCACCACACTCCTCTCCTCTTTTGAATAATACAAATTAAAAAATTTTGAGGTAGTGAAATGTAGGACAGAGTATTCGCAAAATCTCTGCTCCACTTAGCACATATTATTATGTATTATAAATATTATATTTCAATTTCATAGTTTTTTTTTATTAATTACTTTTTTATTAGTTATGTAAATGGTCGGTGGGAAACTATTTTTATTGTCAATAGACATATTTTACTAGCGTAGACACCGTTAACGCGATTATAGCCGAGTTAACAACATTGCGCCATTTATTTCTTCTTTTTGCGGTTTCGTGCCAATTAGAAATACCAAGTACAGCCAGGTCCTTGCCTACCTGGTCCGTCCACCAGCGGGTACCGCATCGAAAACTCTCAGAACTGGATTATTCTTATCCTGATTCACTAAAGTATGTCAATGCAGCCGTATATATCTAACATCTTATTATTGCATCGACAACTTTTAACTTCGATGTTGTCATCGTCCATGTTTCCGCACCATATAGCAGGACGGAAACAATGACGGACTTGAAGAGTTAGGTTTTCTTTCGTCGGGAGAGAACTTTACTTTTCGATTGCCTATTCAGTCCGAAGTGGCACCTGTACGCAAGTGTGATTCTGCGTTGAATTTCCAAGCTGACATTGATGTTGGTGTTGATAATAATGGTCCCAAGATAGACGAAATTATGTACGTTTAACAGTGACCCATATTCTTCGTTTCCTTACCCAGTCTGGAAAAAGCAGATCTAACGGCGCGGGTGTTGAGGCCCATAAGGTCAATATCATCAGCGCACGCCTGCGGCAGTCTATAAGATTGTACCTTCTCTATTCAGTTCTGCCGCTCGTGCTATTTTCTCCAGCAATAAATTCACAAGTCACGCGATTAGGAACCACCCTGTCTGAAATCTCTTATGGCATCGAACGGCTCGGAAATGTCCTTCCCAATTCTGATTCTCTTCTGCTGTTGTTTAGCATCAGCCTTCAAGTATAAGTTTTGCGGGGATATCAAATTCAGACATAGCGGCATAGAGGCAGCTCCTATTCGTGCTGTCGAAGGCGGCTTTAAAATCGACGAAGAGATGATGAGGGTGTCGATCCTCGTTTTAGGGTTCTTTTCCAAGATTTGGCACATGGTGAATATCTGGGCAATGCTCATTTTTCCAGGTCTAAAGTCACACTGATATGGTGATTAATGAGGCTTGTCCTACTATAATTGGCGAAGACTGTGTGGTCCCCTTTTTTTATGAATTGGGCATAGCACACATAGGTTCCAATCGTCGTGTATGCTTTCGTCCGACCATATTCGGCAAATTTTCCGTCATGTTAGAATAGTTCTGCCTGTAGGCCATCAGCTCCAGCCGCTTTGTTGTTTTTAAGCGGGCGAATGCTATCCGAATTTGTTCATGGTCAGGTAATGGAACGTCCTTTCCATCGTCAGCGATTATGGTTTCGAATTCACCGTTTCCGGATACTCCATTTCCACTGCTATGCAGCACGCTGGAGAAATGTTCAATATGCTCTAGGCATCGGTGGCTAGATAACCTTTTTGTGTCCTACAAGAGTCTGCTCCCGTCTTGAAACCTTCCATAAGTCGTCGTATCTTCTCACAAAACTTTCGAGCAGTCCCCGTGTCGGTCAGCTTCTCAAGCTGTCCATACTCACGCGTACCAAAGATACCTTTAAGTGTGCTGTAGGCACTCAAAAAAGGCATCTTTGGCTAAATCGTCCTTTTCCCCAGTCGGGGTGTGCGCGCGAATCAGCGTGGTGTTAAAAAATTTCTCATTGACTCGAATTGTGGCGAGACGTTCACCTAACGGGGTAAATGCCATTCGGCTGCTGAGTGGCTGTTAAAATGAAACACCCGGAGACTGCAATGGCGAAGGACAGCAGCAAAGATTTATGGCCAATGGATTTCCAGCAAAACTAACAAAATACGGCGGCGGTAAGGTGAATCCGTCAGCTTTGCAAAATATTGTCGGCAGAAAACATGCCCAACCATTGAAACCTGAAGGGAACCGCACGGTCTGGTTAATATCACATACAGTGTGTCGCAAAAATAACCGAACTTTATATTTAAATCATACAACATACAGCGCCATCTATTAAAATATTGCCACATTGAAAAGATACATTCATCCTCTTTCAAACGCACCTAACATCATGTATGTCGGATGACAGATGTAAGAATGACAACCATTTCAATAAAACCAAAATTGTGCTAATGGTTCAAAAATTAAATGGAACAAAGAGCAAATATAAAATTTTGTGTAAAAGTTGAAAAAAAATTAATGAAAAAAGTTTATTGTGATGATTTTATGAGTAGTACGCAAGTTTATACGTGGTTTACACGATTTAAAAATGGTCTTGAGGATCTAAATAACGACCCTAGAGCAGGACGTCCAGAAACTAGTAATCGTGCTGAACTGGTGGAAAAATTCCGTGAATTCATTGGTATCAATGCAAATTTTACTACGAGAATG